AGAGAGAGAGAGAGAGAGACTAAGACATATTTAAAGTGTAAAGTCGATTGTTTTTCATTCAATCATTTTTATAATTTAATTTTAATTTTATTGCCAATATTTTGGTTTATATATTATTTATATCTAATATTTTGATATTTATGTATTAAAACAAATGATTGAATACTTAAATATCAAAAATGCAAAACAATGACATTGGATACACTTATAATAACAGTAATAATTGTTTAATAATATTCAGTAAATTAATTATAGTTATATGGGGTGTATCATAATTGAGGAGTTATTTTATACTGTATTTGCGGTCAAAAAAGGTATTTTCAAACCATTTCATATATAAATAATACGTTTTATGCCTTCTTTGCCTAACCTATAATTCAGATTTATTATTATAATTATAATTTATATAAAGTTATTTACTAATACAAATTTCATATAACTTTATTTATTTCCACAAATTTTGTTTTTATTGAATTTATATATAATTTCAAACTTCTGTTTGAGTTATAAATACAAATTGTATATAGTTTGTAGTTAAATACAATTTGTATAAAGTCAATCAATAAAATTGAGTCGATAATAATTAAAACACAAATAAATGCAAAACAATGTGATAGTTATATTTGAAATGAACTGAAACTCTATGGAAACAAAATATAACTCAAAATGATCAATGAAATAATTGTGGTCAACACTGATTGCAGTAAAGCATGTGTTCGGGTTATAAACAGGTATTTCAATGCTTAACGTGCATCACATGCTTTGCGCGGGCCTTACATGAAACTACTGCCATAATTTGAAAAACACACATTTAATGTTCACAATGTGTTTATATAAATATACATGAGTGATGATTACACTATTTTTGTACATACATTCCGTACCGTTCTCTGGCTTTATAATAATAGGGTACACATCAATATTAAAAATCTGTTGAAATTTGCAACAAAAATCTAAATTAAAAATTTAATAAATATATTGGCTTATGGCTTAAAGCATATCATTTGTTTTGTTTGTTAAAAGTGTCTACAATTATTAATTGTCAATTAAATAATAAACATCAAATTTAAATACAAACATTAAAAAACATTTTAAAATACTGTATTACAAACAAATGCATTTAAAACTTAAATGTAATAATACAAACTAGAGACTTTGTAAAGACAGTTTTGTCAATACCTGTTGAAATTAATTCATTAAAATCATATGAAATGCATTACCGATAGGGCAGAAACAGATTTCAAATTAATGTGCATTAAACTAACTTTAATTTGAATTTGAATAATTCATTAAGAATAACAAGAAAGAGCTATTCTGTGTGAAATGTTCACAAAAATATAATAATAACTCATTTGTACCGTTCCTTCCGTCCTTTTTTGATTACTATTTTTGGTGAGTTGTTTTTTAAGGACATTTTTGGTCACTTTAATTAAATACCTTAAGTAACACTCATTAGTGTCTGAAACAAAAGTGTCTGGATACATGAAGTATATCACTCGACTACTTATTTCATACTTTCATTTCATAACAATAAATCTCAATTGCAACTTATTCCACGAATGGACATGTACCTTTCAATATGTTTATGTGATTAATTAAAAGTTGTATTATAATTTAGGTTAAAACAATACTATAATATTTATTGTAATTCAATATTTGATTATCAATCAAAAATATAAATCAAGTTTATTGATAAATATATTATGTCCTAGATTTAACCAAATTTATATTTTTCTGTTTAACATTTAAAAACATTTATTATATATCCCTTTCTTCATTCAATCAAACTATATTTGCTGTTAATTGTTTTATTTGAATTTGATATAGTATTTAAATAACTAATATCTAAATAACTAATTAAATTATCTTGTTATAAATATTATAATATGAAAAATTTAAAGGTTTATAAACTTTTTATTATAGATTAGTTGTAGATTTGTAGCGATTAGTTTGAAATTAATCTTAAATTAAACTAATTAAAATAAAATGCAAATTTCTGTACTTTTACTAAAGTTTTCAAATTGATTAAATAGAAGATTAGACATACAATTAGTGAAATAAAACGATAAATTTATTTTTAAACGCCATCAAACTTTCTTTTTAGTTTTTGTTCCCATTATATATTTAGTGTATAAATATATTATAAATTTAAAGAAATAAAATTTTATAAAACAATAATATTCTGCAAAATATTTAACGCCTTATAATAGTATATATCTTTTATATTATTTCAACAAAATGTATTTTTAATTATATAAAATTTTCATTGAAAAATACATTTTATTTATTTATTTTACATTGTTTTTAAATTTAATAGATTTCAATGATATGACATTTATAGTTAACTTTAATTAGCACTAAATATATGCGCAAACAATTGTTTGTAAATAATGTTTATATGTTTAATATTAATGAAATACATTATAAATATTTCATTCAATACTAATAAACGTTGGATAATAACAATAGATTAGTATATAATAGATGTTTAATGTAAAAATATTATTACAATTTGTGGTTTATTAAATAATCAGCTCATTATTGATACCTGAATTAAAAGAAATGTCTTATCACTCGGTTTATTAGTACTGAATAAATTATATTAATACTAAATTCATATTAATTGATAATTAATAATTGCCTATAAATGTCACAATTATTCGTAATTACTCTCCCTTTTATAAAATAAACAATTTATTAAAATATGTTGTTATCATCTGATATATAAAACAATAGGTAATTGCGATCGTATTAATCACAAGTATATTATTTACTTAACACTATTGAGGTATTAATAATGTTCTCTATTGACAGTATATAACGAGTATAGACTTTGATTTGTGTACATTTACTTTAGAAAACTTATCGAATATTATGTACAACAATATTATCATGGATTATTTGCTACCATATATTACTATCCATGCCAATTAAAATATATATAATTGACATTATAATCCTTTTATAAAGTGCCAGCACGTTGTTAGCACTCTAATGTTTTATATGTTCACAATAGCGAGTGTATACCGTATAGTAACGGTAGTATATTATCAGTAAAATATTATCAATGAAATCGTTTGCAATTAATATCGCATTTAATTATCGCACGTATTATTTAAAAAACACATATAATATTAATAATTGCTTTTTATTCAACACAATAATCAATGCCTATAAAAATGAATCGCATTTTCATTAAACGTTTCATACTTTTATAAATAATAAAGTTTACATTTAGTTATATTGAAAAGCATTAGTATTTCTATATTCATGAAATTTCTCGACCAATCAATAATAGGTGTATTGGAGGACATGTTTGGCACCATTGACTGCAATGTGGGCGACGGAGGAGTGGCGGCCAACTGTCCGCAAACAGGGCCCGCATCCTATGCCTCGGGAATGGGCGATGAGTCGCAAAGTAATTTCATCGCAACTCTATTGACCGATTTTGTGACGACCGACGGCACCGGTTATACCGATTACAGCGACCACCGCTACCCGAGTGGGTACGGCTATGGGGGACACACGACCTACGAGGCCTCGTCCGAAGCCTCCTCTCCGCCGCCAACACCCGACATAATCTCCACGTTTGCCGGCTATACGCCGGCCGACTCGCCATCCATTTGCTCAGCCGTTCACACGCCGCCCACCTATCAGGACTTGTGCTCACCGATGACCGCCAGTAGCTATCATCCACTCCAGTCGCCCACCTCTTCCTGTTCGTCAATGGGCGGCGGCGGTGGCGGCGGTTCACTGGCCTCGCCTCCCATCACTTATCACGAGTGCCGCAAACAACTAATTAAAGACAGCCTCCGACTCACCATAAAGTCGCGGCGGGAGGCACAGGGCCTCGACCTCATGGACAGCAGTCAAGACATGTCTTCAAATGGCAATAACACAGAGAGTGACAGCAATTCGCCGGACGTTCCGCTCACTCGAGCGGACACTGAGCGTCGGCGGCGCCGAAGGGAACGCAATAAAGTGGCCGCCACTAAGTGTAGGAACAAAAAGAAAGCTCACTCTATCAAATTGCACCAGGTATGTAAAGTATCAATATTGTTTGTGTCCATTTATTAGCATATCTACCAATTCAAAGGCTATATTATTTTGTATTCAAAGTTAGACATATTTAATACACAATATGCGCTTTTGTGCAATTATTATTAATTTATTACTAATAAAATATGCAAATTTATTATTTATTAATTAATAACTACATTTCGTGATTTGCATATAATTAATACACGGCATAACTAATTTATCACTTAATTTGTATATTATAATAATGATTGTTGTGTACACTATAGGAGTCGGAATCGCTTACAGTGAACAACTCGGAGATGAGGAAAGAAATTGAAGAACTCCGGCGGGAATGTCAAGAATTGATGACATTATTGACAACTCATGAGACAATTTGCAAACATAACAGGAATCTAATTAATAGCGATAATAATAACAATAATAATTATAATCATCATAAATATTACACCGATTCTTACGACGAGAATAATAATAATCATAATCACAGTAATAATAATCATATGAACATTTGTAGTAGTAATAGTAATACTAGTATTAGTTATAATAGTAATAGTTATTATAGCAGTAATATTAATATGCATACAATGTGATAAGTTTTATGTGTTTGAATTTATAACATAGTTATTACATATCTGTACTGAAAATCTCAGTATTATTTTTGTTGTATTTGATTTAAATGTTAAAATTTTGTTATTTTAAGTTATTTCATGTTTAATTAAATGTCTTTTAACCCTGTTAACACTGTTCACTCATAAATAGAAATGTTTTTTTTATGTATTTTGTTTTATAATTTTTAAATTTTATTTGTTTTTGGAAAATTTTAATTTTTGTTTTGTTATTTTTTTGATAAGGATAAAACTATTAAAAGTACTTTAATTTTCCGTTATATATGCAAATATATACTTATTTCTCTCCAGAAATACATATAATTATAGTTTTTTATACTAAACAAATTGTTTAATGATATTACCGGTTGTTATATTAAAAAATCATTTTTGTTATTTTTGTTAATTCTGTATAAATTTACCCACAGTTCTCGTTGTTATCGATATGTTTTATATATTGATTGTTTAAATAAAAATTAATTATTATTATTAATTCTAGTTTAAATAATTTAAAATAAACTTTATAATATTAAGTTCTACAATATTATTATTAAACTTGGAATAAGTAACAAACTTATTATAAGTTTTTATATAAAATCTAATAATTAAATTATATTTTATAAATTTTAAAATGGATAATAATTTTGTAAAATAGGCTTGATGTGAGGCCTAGGACAATTAAATTTGGGAGATTTAAAAAGACCTATATTGATTTGTAATGGAGTTTCTGCAATCTGATCTTGCCTATAGTTCCAGAATATTCTTATCATGTAGGTTTTGTAAGTTTTGAATATTAAACCAATAATGTGTCTATACGTATATAATTGTGCACTTAAATGTATGAGCACTAAAACAGGGATGAAACTATAGTGGGGCACACGTAATGTGGATACAAAAAATGTTATTTTCAATTCAATAACAAGCTATTGGTGGGACCAATGAAAGTGAAATGCGATAATAACTTGTGAACAAATATATCGTAAAATCTAATCAAATGGCAAATATTGAGTACTGAGACGAAAATATAAATTCACATGATTAACACCATGTAATGTTAAATACCATAAATTAGGGATATATCCCATGGACTATACATAGGAAAAGGTTATATTTAATTTTTAGTTACAATAAATTATCACAATTAAAATTGGTTTGTATAACTCGGAGATTTGATAACGTGAATAAATTGTACTTTAGGTATTTGGGCTATATGCCTAAAATTACGGTAAATAATATTTTTATATTGAAACACAGACATCAATATTATCAGTCTATTAGAAAGTAAATTTCTCTAAAGTTTTAATTAACAAACCGATAATAAGCAACAAACTAGACTCCTTGACTATAACGAGTGTATATTAATTGTGATCGTTGTATGAGATGTCTGTCACGACTACCCAGTATTGATTTACGCAAATGTTTGGGACCTTTGAGTCTAAAACTTTAATTTTGCTCTAAAAATAGTGAACATTATTCTTATTGATGATTGCAAATACATGGATGAGATCAAGCGATTGATATTGAGGTATATAATCATTTTGTATCAGTATTTGACACATAATCCTTGTTTTTCAATGCTATTAATTACCTCATTGTTTTGATATCTAATATTACAGTGCGCTTTTATAAAACAAATATTGTGCTAATTATGTGTAAATTGTATAGACTTTGTATAGAGTATATTGTGTGCGAAATTTAATTTAATAAACAATATCTCATAACAGACTGTTTGTCACCACAAATGTAATCGTAATCCTATTTGTCTTATCATTAAATTCTTTGGACTTATTCTTGTTTTTATTGCAGTTTTATTTTATCTGTTTTTTGTACACTAATGGGAGAGGGATTTGTTTGTGATAAGTGTTTTAATTAAACCATTTTTAATATAAAAAATTTTAAATAATTATTTTTATTCAACACATTTATTTTTGTTAATTCTTACTAATTGAAAATTGAAAATGTTAACTAGATTATCGATCATTATAACAAATTGTTTAATAAAAACTAATTTAAATGGCAAAATAATATTACAAGTGTAGGTGTTTAATATAGACCACACAAAATGCTTATAAATTATGTACAGATTATGTATAGATTTGATGAAAATATGAGTCTCAAGTATAACTTAATACTTGTTAAAACACAAAAAGTTTTTATTAAAAACATAAAATTGCAGAAATGTAAAATATTAAACAGATTTAGCTTGAAATTTATTAAGGATTTTATTATTATTATTATTATTAATTTATTAAAAATATTAAATTTATAATAGATAATGCTAATTTTCAGAAAATCTAACGATTTTAGATGTAAATATAATTGCATTTACAGCTGTATTGTTGCATAACTATTCTCTAAATTGAGTTAGATTGTTATTGAGCATAATTATCTTTACAAATCACAATTGAATTATTTATAACTTCAATGCTTGAATAACTACACAGTAAATTAGCCCAAAAATAAATGTAACTTTTATTTTAAATATTTAATTCATATAAATAACAAATATTTCATTTAAGTAAAATCCTAATTATTATTCAAAGCAATGACTTATATAAACTAGACGTTAAAATAAATTAATTACAATTTCCAACATACATTGAAATAAAATAAAACGACTCAAAATAATTAATTACAATGTTTTCCAAAACAATCACAAGAAAACATAATATGTGTACAATATGTTTATGGTATCCGCATTAATTGTACTATAGATTCCACTAAAGTATAATGAACTACCATCCAAAATAATTAAATAAATTTTATATTAAATTAAAAATCAAAATGAAATAGAAAACTAAAAACTTTTAAATCAAAATCAAACAACGAAATGGTCTGTTATAGTGAACATAACGATCGTTATGTACGCCTATCCCCTATTCCGGTCAGGAAATTGTCCAATAAATTAAATATAAACCGGGAATACATTGTAATTATAATTAATTAATTAATGAAAAATTTTAAAAATGACTCTTTTGTTTGAAACAAATAAGTTATTTGAAATAACTCTCATTATTATAAGCTCTCTAAACACTAACACAATATCAATGAAATCACAATTTAAGAAATGAATTACAAAATCATTGGTTTTGGCAAATAATTTGTTTGTTTGACTATTTGTTTGGTATAACCAATGGATCGGACTTTGAGATATCGTAAGAGAAAAGGACGGGTCGATCGGTCTCTATGCGTACGGAACGGCACTCGGGGTCGAACTCATTGGACGTACTGATTAGTGAACCGAAAGACATGGTGTCTTTGGTTAGATTCCACCGGAAACCCGTTGTGGTCACCAGACAGGGGGCGCCCACTGGAACCAGTGAACACCATTTGGCCTCATGGTGTGACTCTATCACATGTGTTCCCTATAGCAATATAATCATTACAGTAAATACAGTATAAAACTAGTACACTATACCGTGTGTATAGTGTATATATGGACGCATTGCATACCTTATGCAAGAGGAAAGTGACGGAATTGTGAACTTGAAAAAGGATTATGGGGACGTAGTGTTGGCCCCCTTCGCCCGCTCCGTATCCGTTCTCCAACTCATTGATGTACAACGTATTGATGTTAGTGAGCACCTGATCTATGCGTCCCAACGACGACCAGATAGCTATAATAGCTCCGCACCCCTCCCGATCACGTGGCGATGGGGGTGGGGGTGACTGTTGACCATTAGTGGGCGGTTGTGGTGATGGCGACCCGTTATGGCCGTTATTGGCCACCACTGCCGACACGTTATTGTTCTCATAGACGGAGCGTTTGTTTAAGTGAAGGATAATTTTGACGGCTTTCTGAAAGTCGGTGTAGTTCTGGTCAGGCGTTGCCATTATTTTGACCCCTTTTTGTCGAAAGTGGTTGAGCCGATCCGTTGTCACCGAATCAAAGTCACCGCAAAGAATGTCCG